ACTATCAAAGGAAGTGAACTCGTCGACGATTTGTCTCGTATGTTGAAAATGTGTGCAAAAATAACCGAGGAGAGGGAATTAGAGATTTCACTCAACATAACTATGCGCAAGGGGAAAAGAGTCTCGGAAGATTTAATGTGAAGAATGTCTATTTTGATGAATTTGAGTTATTGTAATTATTTGGTTTTATGAGACTGTTTTTATCAATGTTTAGGTGTATATTTCAAGCAATGATATCACTTTGTTATGAGCATGTTGCCTGTTGTTATCAATGTTTTGATGCTTAGTGCTAATGATTTGATTGGTTAAGAATGGAACTGGAGCAGAGTTGAGTTTGATTCCTGTTTTTCCAACACTTACTTTCCCAAATCATTACTCAATTGTTGAAACAGGAATGGCTATTAAAGTGCCTCATGAAGAGAACATCATTATTTTTACTTTGTTTTGTTGCAGATGTTGGATATCAAAAAAGCAAGTGAACTTCTGTCAGAGTTCACCTCTTATATAAATAAGACCATTCTTTAAAAACCAAAATCAGACCATGCTTTAAACCACGTCAAGCACGTCATTTAACTATTTACACAAATACATAAATCAGACCATGCTTTAAACCCCAAAATCAAACCAGCGTGTCAAGCATGTCATTTAGCTATTTACACAAATACATAAATCAGACCATGCTTTCAACCCCAAAATCAAACCAGCCTGTCAAGCATGTCATATAACTACTTACTCATACATAAATTAGACCATGCTTTAAACCCCAAAAGTAAACTAACCGAATTTCTAGATGCTTTAAACCTCTAAATCAAACTCGCCCACGCTCTCCTGTGTGCCGACTTATTGGGAAGGGAAAGTTGTTGGTATGCAAACCTCCTGACAAATTGAATTGATACTGTCATTTACAAAAACACTTGTTATGGGAACTCAAATAAGTTGGTGTATAACAATCTCATGTTCAAATACTTAAACTATGAATGGGGGTGAAACTTTGGCTTCTTGATTTTTCGATGTACTTGAGTTCGTTGCCACCTGTACGGCATGGAAATAAGCAATCAATCTAAATATGTGCTAGAAAAAAAAACTCGAAATCATACCTTACGACATCTTATTTTTTAGAACCAACATCTAGATAACTCTTTCGGAGAAGTTTTTTAGGAGCTCCCTTGCTTTTTGTGCATTCCGGGTCCAAGATGGTTTCGCTCGCACACTTTCTTGCTTCATCAAAGCATTGGTAGCCAACATTCCTAGACTTCAACATCGATGATTGTATTGTTTGGAATTCAATCCACTCCAAAATTCCCTGCAACTGTGATTCGTCGTGTGCTACCAAGTCAGCTAGCTTCATAAAAGCACTGCACATTTGCTTATATCTTACTTGGTTAGGAGTACTAAGCCAACCATCGTAATTGATCGAAACTCTCATCTACAGTCTGTTCACGTCCCTCCTCCATCTCTTCAAAATGTACTTCTCAGGAAATAATTTCACTTGGTTTCGAATCAAAACTACAATTGCATGCTTGCAAATAATTCCTCTAAACTCAAATAAGTGACAAATGCACTCAAACTCACATTCATCTCTACGAAAGCACGCTTTAAACATTCTTGTATGCATACATTTATTGACAATAATGTCTTCACGTACGTCACACATAGTATGCAAGTACGAATCATGAATAGATGGGACTTCACAATATACATTTTCGATAAATTGTTCTGGAACTCCTTGAACTTCATGATTGTATAAACAGATTGGAATTGCTTCTCCATTTCATACCTGGTCGCACATGGTACCATGGATGAAAATGATTTGAAGTCAGCTTGGAACTCTTTCTCAACTTTACTTCTCAATGCACGTTTATACTACTCTACAATTGCTTTAGTGATGTTTTCGAATGAACATAACCATCAAAAAATGCATTAATGCCCTCACTTCGTTGTGTGGTTGACATACCCACCCCAAATGAAGTTTTCAAAAAGCATGGCACCCATCAACTTCTTTCATTGTATAGACCTGCCAACCAAGCATGTTCTAGCAATTTGTAATATTCAAGTATCTTACTCCAACCTTGTTCAAATTCGTAATCTTCAAGTATCTTACTCCAATCCATGCATAATACCAATAATAGAAGCTTTATGTTTTTGACCGCCGAATTTTTCTGCTAACTTTTTCAGAATATGCCACAGACACTATATATGCTTTGTATTCGGAAACACGATTTCAATTGCATTTTGCATAGCACGATCTTGATCTGTAATCATTCCACTAGGAGCTTGATCATGCATACATTCAAGCCATGTCCTGAAAAGCCATATGAAAGTCCTTATATCTTCATTTGAGACCAAACCACATCCGAGTAGAGTTGATTGTCCATGATAGTTCACCCCATCAAAGGAGCGAAAGGCATTTCGTACTTGTTAGTCAAGTATGTGGTGTCAAATGTAATTACATCACCAAATTTCTTACACGCTTGTCTGCACCTGTTATCTCCCCAAAATACGTTCATCAACTGAGCATCGTCATCCAAATCTATACTGAAGAAGAAACCAGGACTGGTTGCTTACATTTTCGAAAAATACGCTTGTATTGCAACAGCGTCTCCTTCACCAACTTTTAATCATCAGACTTTGTCAATGAAATTTCTAAAATATTACTCAACGCATGTAATCTTTTCATAACCACCAGCTTCAACTACGGCTGAGTTAAAACTCTTTAAATAAAAGGAACAAAGAGATGCCAATTTTTAAATAGTTACGTCAAAGTAGGAAGTGTACATAATAAAAATCAGCCCAACAATTGGGCATATTACATTAATCCAACACATTGCATATAAAAATTTCATTAGATTAGATTGATACTTGTACAAATGCTTCAAACTGATTAAAATTATGTTGACAAATTTTTTTTTTCTGTGACCAATGCATTCATAAATCATAACGATTAATTTATTGTCAATTCCGAGGGGGTAATACAAGCCTTGTAGAATGAGATCTTGAATTCAAAATGGGAGATCCTGTATACGGGTTCAAAATGGTGTCTCACCTGCAGATGCACCAGATTGAGATCTTCACTGGTATCATTTGTGTTTTTCTGCTGCATGGTTAAATAAATACGTTTGTTGTGAACTTGTAATATACCGAAGTTGTTCATCATGTATCTTCAATGTGGTCGAACTACAAATTTGAATAAATGGGTTCTCATTCTAATAGTTTAAACTTTTAGTTGAGCAGATTCTACATGGTATCAAGCCAACAAAAATCCCGACTTCAAGTCTCGTTGCCAATTTTGCACAAAAATAGAAAATATATAACTGAATTTGACTTGCACACAAGGGGAGTATTGAAGATTGCATCTAAATATAAATTAGCTTTCCTCTGCCCAATGGATTGAAACAAAATGCTATAATAGCCAATGGGAAAACTACCTTTGATGTACGAGGCGGATCTAAGAAGATGCAAGTTTATCTTTAACAAAGAATTGAAATAGAAAAACCATTCAATGAATTTTCAAAGCAAAAGAACAATAAACTCCAGGTCCTCGATTCTATCACTGTCCGATTGAAATAGGTTTAACATTGTCCGAATTATCTTTCACCAATAAAAGATGTTGATTAAAAGCTTACATTCAAGCTTAGAGCAAAAGGAATCAAATAATATAATACAATTCAGCGGCAGGATTCGTGGCTAATTGAATTGCAAAAGCGCACATTAGTAAATCAAGATTGAATCAATTAATAGAATTTCAAAAATAATTATAATCCAAATTCTAAAAAATTTCCAATTGAATGCGTGGAATGAGGCATGAGTAGAATTATTCACCTCATCAAAAATCTCGCTGGCGGAGAGTAGAACCCAAATAATACAGAGCCGTCAACTGGAGATGGCATAAGAACAGAATTAAGCCTTTGTTTTTGAGTTTTTTATGGTATAGATTTTTGGTTGCTTCTTGCTGGTTTTGTTGTGTGATTAGAGGAGAGAGGGTTTGATCAGAAAAGAGAGGGCAAGGGGGTTTTGTACGTGGGTTGAGATGAGAGAGAGACAGGGAACGTGGGTTGGTAAAATAGTTGATAAACCAGAATTCTTGAAAAGATTGAATTCCATGGAAAATAAAATCCTACTCTCCCTAAATAAAATATTTTCCTTGTTTTCAAGAAAAATATGGTCATGTGACCAAAGATAGAAAAACATTTTCCATGGAAAAAACTAGTAATCAAATAGTACCAAAGTAGAAATTTTGATGGAAAACTGACATTTTCCACAAAAAATATTGGCAATCATACACATCCTTACCATAAACCACCATAACTCCCACTGTGAACCATCTAAAAAACACATTCACTGAATAAATGTACTAGCCTTTAAAGGTACTTATCTCTACAGATTATTAAAATAGTAACTCAAACATGCAGTGTTGGGTAATCAAAAACAAGTCTTGAGAAGATTCACCATTGGTATTGAGGTTGAAGATAAAACTAAACACTTGATAAAAATGTAATGGATGTAAGATGGATGCATTTTTACCGTCCTTCGTTGATGTGGAGCTAATCAATAAGGTATGTGCGGAACAGAAAAATGTATAACTCGTCACTTAGCAATTATGACAACTCATTGTAATTTTGAAAATTGAAACAAACATATAACCAGAAACATAGCGAGTACTGCACATATATTTCACATTAAAGAACAACAGGAGCAAATATATAAGCATGAAGCATGTTAAGCCCTTGTAAAGAGAAGTATAAACATCGGCACCAGTCATCAATTACAAGATTTAAGAGGAAAAATACAAAAGAAAGACACTGGTTTTATCTTCCAAATTAACCATCATAATCTCGTGAAAGGAAAACAACATTATGAAGTTTTTAATAAGCATAAAAATTATATAACTAGAACAATCACCAGAACCAGAAGTACAAAAACCGCATAACTAGCCAGCTCCATTTCCACCCTCATCTGAAGTTCAAGGATGGACAACACGAGCAACCGAAACAACTGCATCACTATGCTTTCTCCTCCTTCTCACGGTTCCACTGCTCAATCCTAGCTCTCCGCTCCTCACTTCCTTCTCTCACTGGACTCCTGCTCCTCCTCGGAGCAGGACTCGCCCCATGCCTTCTTCTCTCTCCCTCGTACCTTCCATGTCTGTCGCTACCACTACCACCCCTCCTCCCACTACCACCCCGATAATCCCCTCTGCGATGATCACGAGGATCATAGTCCCTATCCCTCTCCTTCTCTCGCCTGTGGTAGTGTGGGGGACTCAAACTCCTGCTGCGGCTTCTACTTCCCCTGAACCTGCGGTGGTGACTCCCAAACAGCTTCCTCCTAAGCTCCCTCCCAATCATTTTCACATGCATAAAATTACAATACCCACCACGGTTACAATTATCCTCCTCATACTGCCTGCACGTAGCCTCGCGAAAATCAGTAACCGGAGAAAAATCCACAATAATGGGCCTACCCGAATAAAACCTCCCCTGCAAAGCCTGGAGAGCAGCAGCAGCCTGATCCTCCTCCTTGAACTGAACATAAACATTCCCAATCATATGATCAGCGAGGTTATCACAAACATTGAGGGTCTCGATCTCGCCGAACTTGCTAAGCTCCTCAAATATATCCTCATAAAAATCCTCGAAATGCTCCTGGATCTTCTTGGGGTCGATGGGTTGACCCTGGGGATCGACGCCGGGGGTTATCATGTCCGGACGGTGGTACATATTGGCGAGGACGAGCGTCGGCGAAATTGTGGGGCGGTTGTGGAGGCGGGAGCAGCGGTCGCCGTGGCGGCATGCGCCGATCTTGAAATAAAACGGGCAATTAACCCGGTCCTTTTCCGTTCCGAATATGGAGGCCAAGTGCTCCGCCATTATTGCTTAATGATTGATTGAGTACTGATTATTACTCAGCTAGGGTTTTAAGGGTCGATGGATAAATTGAGAGAAGGTAGACAAACGAAAACCCCCAAATTCTGAAGGGTATTTGGGTAAAGAAGATGGATGATTCTAGATTATGGTGCTCGTAACTTTTTGTAAATTCCTCCAGGGTCCCCAAACCTTTTGTATATGCCGTGCACGTCTCCAACCTATTATTTTTTGCACATATTTCTTCAAGCTTTTAAAATTATTGCATTCACATTTCTTGAAGACATTTATTTAAATTAATCAAAGTTGAACGTGTGTTACATATTATTATAAAATATTTTATAAGTACTATAAAAATAATATTTGAGTATGCGTAAATGTTAATTAATTTAAAATTAATATAAAGGAATATATACATGACGATGAATTTTAAAGTATTTATTTAATTTTCAATTAATTAAAATTGGATTTTAATTTGCATACATAGACGTGAATAATGAAATGCATTCTTAAATGTGAAATTCTAATTAACTTATAAATAGAATTAATAACACTTAAATACATAAATGAATATAAATATTAATTAAATGAATGTGAATATTAATTAATTGAGAATTAATAATAGAAAATTTATACATTAATGAAAGTATACATTTGAAATGAATCTTACATGTACATTAATGATAACTAAATAAGATGCACATACGGGTTCTCATCAATTTCCCTTAAATCGACCGAGATTGGAAGCAAATTGTTCTAGAAAATCAAGATGAACTAATTCAAAATCCTCTGAATGGGAAAGAATTTCCACTTCAACAAGGATTTGGCTATCAAAATCACTGAAAAAAATGCATTGTTTGGGCCATGTTAACAAAAAAAAAAAAGCCCAATTGAGTTGAAGAAAAAAATTCAAGAACATAGACTTTTGGAGAAGAACCTGTTCCGGACAAAAAAAAATGAATTTTGCAATTGAGGCCCTCCTATTCTATGTCCACGTGTTCTGGTTCTTCAGGTTTGAATTAAAACAAAACGGTCCTAAAACTAACTTTAGTGATCATTTATGAAACAGCCTGAAAGTTAAGGGACCATTTCTGTAAGTTTCGAACTTCAGTGATCATTTTGTGATTTTCGTGTAACTTCAGTGACCATTTGTGAAATTATCTCATTTTTGAAAAAATTGAGTTCAAACGGGCCCAGAAGTTAAAGACGTCATTTGATTTTTATTAAAATGAAGAAAATTTGTCATTTAAGTAAGATATCAAATAAGGGCCACACATTAAATCGTTCGAATAAATATTTTTTATTAGTTGGGGACATGAGAGCCACATGTTTGAAAAGTTGGGGAAAAGAGTGTAGCAAATGATTGATTTGAGACATGGGTATCGCACTTTCAAACAATTGTGGAAACCCAATGAAAAATATGCTCAATTGTTTTTTTAATTTTTTTTTTCTTCCTTTCTTAATTTTTGCTTTAGAAATTGAGGAAAGTTGGTAAGGCTTCCTGAAGTTTCACGTAGTGTGGTTATGGACTTCTTAACTTTTAAAGTGTTGTTTCGAATTTATGACTTATTTAAATTTATGAATTTTGGTCCCTCTACAAAGGAAACTTTCAATATATAGTCTTTTAGATGTTGAGTCATGAATAACTTCTAGTTGAATAAAGAGAAATGTAAAGTGGTTTGATAGTTTTGTCTTCTAACTTTGAGTTACGTGAGAGTTGTGTGCGATGTAATGTCAATATTGGTACTTTCAATTGCGAGAAAATCTAAGCCCCTATTTGGTTGAGTTAAAAATCATATTTTTCGTAAATTTTTATAAGAATTAATGAAATATGCAGTGGAAAATTTGATAAAAGTTAATGAAAGTTGTTGTAATGCAAGATTACTACACCTAGTGACATCTTAAGAAATGTATAGTTGAAAAGTTGATGAAAATCACAATCTTGATAATTCTTTTTTCAATTCGACACTCATATTTTCATCTATTGTATATCTTCCACACCCAAATATATTCTTCATTGTCTGACTTTAGTAGTAGAGTACATGAAACCATTGCACCTTTCGGGGCTACTGTCTTGTATAGTCTAGCGTTGGTCTTCAAGTGGACAAGTAACATATACGTGGACAAGAGATGAGTTGAGATCTGCTAACATCAGGGTCCTTTGGATTTGTAAAACAAGAGATCGACATTGTCTAAAGGAAAATCACACTAATCATGAGTGAGTCCCGTGAGTAAAAAGCCTACTGAAAAACCCACATACTTATGAAAAAGTGTTGATCTTGATGGAAGAACAAATGGATCCTTTGCAGAAATCATCCCTAGAAAATCTCCAAATTTGGGTCATTGTTTATTGAAAAGGGAAGAGGTAGAATCTTGAAGTATTTGTTCTTGAAAAATGAGCATCTTCATCGACCCCATATTGAAATGTTAGATAAATATTATCCAAGAATTCTGTATATATGGGAGGGAGCCATCTATGCCCTAAAGAAAACCAAGCAGTTTTCACCCATGAGCTCTTCATGTGTTTTAAAATGAACCATTGCATCTAAAGGTTGCTTGTAAATGAAGGGTAACTTACTCATTTAACAGTATTATGTCTTTAACTATATATCGAGACTAATCATAATCCAACATATTATGTGTCTTACTCATGTAGCTAGTTCAATAAATTGATTTAGTAAGCATGGATAGTCATCAATTTTTTTTTTAAAACAAAGTGGCACTACTACCTTAACAAGTTTTCAGGCTCCACCAAGGAAGGCTGATAGGGCGAAGGTTTCCCATATATAAAATCAAAGTCACGAGAAGAAGAAGAAGAAATTTGACCTCCCAAAAGAAAAACAATGTAACATATAAGATAATGAAATAAATAGAGAAGTACTACTTCGTATACAGTGAAAGGAAACGAAAAGCAAATTAATATCCTCTAATAATAGGAAGTTCATATATGTCAATTTGTACAAGAATACAAAGTCATCATTTTTCGTACTCCTTATAACGGAGGTGGTTCCAACCATCGGATGCAAGTGAATCACCAACCTGATTTCCCTCACGGTAAATGTTTTAAACACTATCACAATCAAATGAAAGAAGGTTCCAAATGTGATTGAGAGTGATTTGAATCGTCCATGGTCCTCCATCCATAGTGATGCATTGGACGGCTACTCACGGGTCGACTTCAACACATATGCTAGATAATTCAATTCATCGAGTAATTAAAATTCCATCTAAGATAGCTCATAACTCAACCACCAGAATAAGGCAACCTCCATGACGAGAAATATATGGTTACATGCTTCTATCTAGCTTTATCTAAAAATATGTCATCTTCCAATTCTCAAATGTTAGGAGGATTTCTCAGATAACTGCACTAATCATAGTAAAACCTATATCCAATTTACATCTTTGTACCATTAAATTCACTACAAGACTGTTCAACATATTGAATATCTTTTAAATATTCCAATGTTATTATTGCATATCTAACACACATTAAGGTGTATCGCATTATGAATCATCTTGATACTTCTAAAATTAGTATAAGGATTTTTTACCTTCTCATCTTCATAGAAATTTTTTTCTATGGTTTATAAGGTAATCTGATAATATAATTTATAAACAGTGTACCTCCATAATTCCTCGGTTGGGAATTCCTTGGGTAGATTCGAACTTAAAAACAGCAATTGCTATTGCTTCAAAAGTTCGATTCTTTTGTTTGTTAGACAACTCTTCTAGATTTAGGTGAACAACGATCACTGTTCAATAACTTATTTCAAGTATTGAACATTGCACATCCCCATATCAATTCGGATATGTGCGTCAATACAATCATAATTCAATATCATTTAGGACTATCCTTGAAAATAATTGGCATCCTTTTAGCAACTCACACGTTTCATCTTTAGCCATTGCGTCTGTTTATTTGAGGAGTTCAACTCTGTCTCGATTTACATTCTCTTGTAATGACGATGTACAAATTTCTTGTTAGAAAGAATAACAAACTCTCCACAGCTAACAATTCTTATTCTTTACAAACGAATTTCATTTTATAGCCTTCATCCCGAGGGATAGCCGATGTCATCGCCAACTATGGAGGGGAGCCATCTATGCCCTAAAGAAAACCAAGCAGTTTTCACCCACGAGCTCTTCATGTGGTTTAAAATGAATTATTGTCTTAAGATTCTTAAGAACAAATAAATTCAACTGAATGCACTAATGAACACTAATATCATGTAGATTTATTGTCTTAAGATTGTTAGGAAAATTGCCCGTGCATAATTTATATTCCCATTAGTAACATTTTTAAGTGCTAAAACTGAACAGAATTACGACTTACCGAAATCATATACAAAAATACGGAACTGAGAAATGCATGAATTTGAATTTGTCAAGGCAAGAGTTTTAACTCTTTCTCCTCAAGACGCATGGGTGCTAACGCTTTTTAAACAATCGTCTCTTAAAATACAACAACCACGTCTCACAATAGGAAAATATATTTCAAAGAGACAACTCTTCATCCAAATGGGTTCTAGATTATTCATAATATTCTACATTTTTTTTTTTAACAATTTCACGTATTTAAACGGATTAAATTTGGCTTTAATTTCTCATTCAGTGAGTAACTATTACTCCTCAAATAATCATTTAAAAATTGTTCTGTACAAATTTCCAACGGAATCCAACATGGGAACTAGTAGACAAGCAAATAATTGGGCTGAAATGGGCGTAAAAGACAAAATATAATGAAGATTGACGGGTTCAAACATTCAAGTGAGACTCATCAGAAAAGGATATTCTCAAGTCTCAACATAGTCGACCTCACAATCACCAAGACATTCGCACCAATTGCAAGAATGGAGAATATAAGGACTTTCTTGGCAATAGCAGCACAAATAAAGCTTCAAGTGTTTCAAATGGACGTAAAATTAGCCTTTCGAAATGAAGAAATTAAAGGAGTATGCACAGAGCAACCATTCGACTATATCATCAAATGAAAAGAAGGAAAG